CCTTAACAGCCAACTCATCAGACCGTTTGGAAAGTAGTCTGTTATCTTTAGGAGTGAGAATGTTCCTGGCCACCACCGCAGCGGTCATATCATTCTTCATCACAGAGTCCCCAACTGTAAGATGACCAATAGGGGATAAGAAGGATGGGCGCCATATGTTGTCTTGAGAAGGCATGGCTGCCTCTTCACCAAAGTTCAAGTCAAAACGACGATCGGATGGGCCAGACATTCTTAGAAATGATGAAGGAGAAATGAGGTGCAATAAATCTCTTAAGTACAAAAATAAGGGGAAAATTCCTACAAGCAATAACTCTCTGAATGTACTTCTTGCACACAATTGGTGTCCTTATAAAAGAAAGGGTAACAAAGCCGTTGGTTCAAAAATCGAAGAGGCACCATTCTTCGAATTTCGAAGAGGCACCACTCTCCACACGCACTATTAGCTCCTCGGGTACCACAGATAACTTTGCCAAAGATCTTTGACAAAGTTTAGACACATAAATTTTGAAGGTCCAGCTACCCTACTATTACCCACAAGGGTAGAGGAACAGCACCACTGCTTGATAAATGGAAAGTCCCTATGTGTGTCAACCTCCGTGCTCCGTGGCAAGGCAGACTGGCAAAAATGCCCAACCTTTACTCACATTCGAGAAAACACTCATAACAGGATTGCTTTCTCAAAAATCGAAAAGGCACCGTTCTCTGAATCTCGAGAGCCAGATCCCCTACATGATTGCTTGTTCGAAAAATGAAGAGGCACTGCTCTCCGAACTTCGAGAGCCAAATTTCCTTGGATAAAGCTTGTCTGCAATCTTCACACGCAACATCAGCTTTCCAGATACCACATACCACTTTTTCAAAGCGCTCTGACAAAGTTACAACATGTGAAGCTTGCAGCTCCCACTACATTGCTATGACCAAGAAGGGTAAAGGAATAACATTATTACTTGCTCAAAAATCGAAGAGGCACCGCCCTCCGAATCTCGAGAGCCAGACTCCCAACAGGATTACTTTCTTAAAAATCGAAGAGGCACCGCTATCCAAATCTCAAGAGCCAGACTCCCAACATGATTGCTTTCTCAAAAATCGAAGAGGCACCGTTCTCCGAATCTCGAGAGCCAGATCCCTGACAGGATTGCTTATTCGAAAACCGAAGAGGCATCGCTCTCAGAACTTCGAGATCCAAATTTCCTTGGATAAAGCTTGTCTGCAATCTTCACACGCAACATCAGCTTTCCAGATACCGCATACCACTTTTTCAAAGTGCTCTAACAAAGTTACAACATGTGAAGCTTGCAGCTCCCATTACATTGCTATAACCAAGAAGGGTAAAGGAATATCATTATTACTTGCTCAAAAATCGAAGAAGCACCGCCCTCTGAATCTCGAGAGCCAGACTCCGAACAGGATTACTTTCTCAAAAATCGAAGAGGCACCGCTTTCTGAATCTTAAGAGCTAGACTCCCAATAGGATTGCTTTATAAAAAATCGAAGAGGCACCGTTCTTCGAATCTTGAGAGCCAGATCCCCGACAGGATTGCTTGTTCGAAAACCGAAGAGGCATCGCTCTCCGAACTTCGAGAGCCAGATTTCCTTGGATAATGCTTGTCTACAATCTTCACACGCAACATCAGCTTTCCAGATACCACATACCACTTTTTCAAAGTGCTCTGACAAAGTTAAAACACGTGAAGCTTGCAACTCCCACTACATTGCTACGACCAAGAAGGGTAAAGAAATAACATTACTACTTGTTGTTAGGAAAACTCCTATATATGTCGACCTCCATCCTCCACAGACAGGCAGACCTGCAAAAATGCTTAACCCTTCCTCATATCTAAGAGGGCACTCCCAACGAAGCCTCTCGAAATACTCAGCTTTCCTCCCCCCAATAATACCTATGCAAACTAGCCACACCAAAGCAAGAGTATCTCATATCATCAGGGTCAAAAGCAAGAGTATCCCATATCATGCTTTTTCCCTGTCTTTTCCTTTGTCCTTGTTCTTACCTGCCAGACAAGGAGAAAGAGAGCAATCAGTCAGCACTTGGAATCAAGCTTCCAGTCAGGAATTGACTGCCTGGAACCTCTTGCCTGATTACTTACTTGGCATTGCTCTCGAGTACTCATCTTCAACATCTTATGCTTCAAAAAAAGATACCATATCTGCCTGAGGAATAGATAGGGCAAGTGAGAAGGATACAAGGAAGCATGTGGAGACAAGCGCAACAAAACACGTGCTGATTCATCTATTACTTCGTCAACAGCAAAAGTATCCCATATCATCAAGGTCGAACGCACTCTTGATTTGATGGACTTGTTTTGACCCTCAAATTCTTGAGTCGGCCTTATACTCTGGAGGAAACCAGAAAACCCTCCAGCCTAGTTCAAGAATAAGCCTGTGGAAAGTTACTCCTTTAAAAGAAAAAGTATCTCATATCATCTCTTCTCCATTTGCTTCTCCTTATCCTTGTTGGTGTTTACGACACAAGGAGAAGGAGAACAATCAACCGGAAGCCGAAGTCGAACCTCCGATCCAGGTTGCTTGCTTGGAAGTCTGATTGCTTACCTTGTCTGTTACCTCTTTCGGCAAATCTCCTAGCTCGGCGACTTAGGGGACTCCTACTATAAGGTTTTGTATCGCACTTGATCAAACCCAAAACTACAAGTAAGCTTCAAGTGAAATTGATACATTACCTTGTGCATCTTCATCGGTTAAAGATACCACCCCTGGATAGAGGAAAAGTACTTCCAGAGAAGATGCCACATGTACGTATGAGACAGATAAGGCAAGTGAAAATGATACCACACTTCGGTACTTAGAAGTTTCGTGATTATTCAATGGCTTGGATCTTGCAAGTCCCCAACCGAGAAGCTTCCCTCACTCGGGAACTTAGGGGAGCACTGTTTGTACCATACTTGACCAATTCCGAAACTACTGAGCACCGGTCAACGTTACCGTCAAAGACCCAGAAGAGTTTCCCTTTAACCAGGAGGCCAATCACAGCGCGACACGTGTCGACATCAGAAGCCAATCATAACGCGACATGTGTCAACATCAGAAGCGAATCATAACACGACACGTGTCAATGTTAGAATGAAACTAGAAACTCTCTTCTATAAATAGAGATCATTCTCTCACAATATTTCCTAATGTCATTTGTACTAAATCATTCACTAGTACTCACAAAAGGAGAGCTTGAACCTATGTACTTGTGTAAACCCTTCACAATTAATGAGAATTCCTCTATTCCGTGGACGTAGCCAATCTGGGTGAACCACATACATCTTGTGTTTGCTTCCCTGTCTTTATTCATTTACTTACTTATCCACACTAGTGACTGGAGCAATCTAGCGAAAGTCACAAACTTAACACTTTCTGTTGTACCAAAGTCCTCGCTGATTTTGTGCATCAACATATAATGTTAAGAAGGTAGAGAAACTATGGTTTTGCTACTCATAGTGGGTAGTTAAGAGTTAATCCTTATATTCAGGTGAATAAGGTACATCTCATTTAATGAAGTTTTGGTATTCTCTTTAAGCTTACTAACTTAGCATTCATGTGGTAGAATGCCTTGTAACTTTGTACTCCAATTCCGAATCTCATTGTCATTTTATCAAAGTTCCAGACAATGTCTCCCAATGTTCTTAGCCAAGTCGCTCCCAGCAAAGCTTCACACCCAGTCATTGGTAATATGTAAAAAGTCATCTCCCACTGAAAGTTCTACAGACTCAATGTTAAACTAGGTGTGTGACCCCTAGTTTTCATTCTTGCCCCATTAGCGACTGAAACATTCAAAGGGTTAGTGTTATTCAATTCACATTGGAACTGCTTAATTAACTTGGGATGGATAAAGGTGTGTAGCTTGGAAGATTAATCAATTATGATTAGGGAAGGTCGGTTACGGAAAGATCAATTACTAGCCGAGATCACGGACAAGGGAAAGAGTGGAAAACAATCTTCCTGGAGCTAGGCATTAAGCTTCGCATTTGCATTTAGCTAGTCTATAATCAGTCCTAGATACAAGGACTCAGGCTCTCTCTAATGCGACCTCTTTACCACTTCACTTCTTATTCACTTCTTCACTTTGTTTGCTTCGAAACCTCGTTTTATTGATCTATTATCATAGGAAACAATGATAACATACTATATCCTAAATAGGAGTGTAATCATACTAAGACTCTCTTAAAGAAAGGCGTGGGGCATTACTTGTTCTGTTAGGTTCTTAGTAGGAGTCGTCTACCTTTTCTTCTTTTACTTCACGGTTTCCTTGAGTGCTTTTTTCAACTCTAAAAAAGAAGTAGACCTTCTTTTTTTTCAGAACCTCGCTTTTGTTCAATTATAAATAAATAACCGCTTTGATGGAGATTTGTAGCATCATTCAAGTAAATACAGATTGAGATCGTAGAAACATGAGCTTGTGATATAGCTACACCTAAATTCCTGACCGGTTAATGCAAGAACTATAAATAAAAGGACCATGATCTTTTATAAAAAAAATAAAAGATCATTCATACATAGCATAGTCCAAGCGAACCCACTTAAAATCTTTACTGAACTATGAACTGCCATCATATTAGCAAATAAACGTAGTCCTGAGCTTAAAGTTCCTCCCCAGCTATGCAGCACGAACCTATATTTGACCAGGAGGTGGAATTAGAGTTGTTATTCAATGGTGCAACTTGCATTTTTTAGCTTAATATAGATAGAGAAACTACTTGTTTTTTTGTTTTTTTGTTTTTTTGTCAAACGATAGATTTTGCTAGATTAACCACTAATGAAGTTCGAAAACACGCCGTCATGCTCAACACATTTCCATCACTGATCTTTGCTAATTTAGTGTGAATTAATGCTTTATATTAAAAATACACAAAAGGAGGCCTTCCAACATATGCTGTTCCCGGCCCAGTAGTTTCCGGAAGCCCAAATAAAAAATCTTCGGACCAAGAACTTAGCACTGACCCTGAAATCACACGCAAATCCTATAAAACCACATGTGAGAAAGATGTCTCCACGCACAATAAAATCCCTTGGGTTCCCACTTGAATCAAAAAATTAAACCTTTCGTATCCAAAAATTTCCCAGTAAATCTCTGCAATTCAACATTTTATATACACAAGCAATTCGAAAAGCACACAAATTAAAATCACCTATTTATTTCTGGATCTCTCTCTCTCTCTCTCTCTAGGTTCTGCTTCTGCGTCTCTTTGCCTCCCGGTAAGTCCATATCCTTGTATTCCCAATTTTGAATTGGGGATTTTGCAATTTCAGTTTGATACACTTAGATTCTGAGTAATATTTTGGGATTTCATATGTAATTTCATATTTTTTGTGATATTTGGATTCATTTTTCTTGGTGGCTTATATGGCTTCTTTGTGGTTTTATTGAATCATGACCACCCAGCACATTAGGGTTTTTGTTTTTGGAATGTTGTGGGAAAGTAGGGTTTTAGCTGTTAACTCCCTGTTTGGTGGCTGAGGAAATTGTCGGTAGCTAAAAGAGTATGCCAAGAAATGATAGAGATTTTTTTTTAATTCGATGTTGTTATTAGCTAGGATTTATGGTATTTTAGGTTTTGGAATTATTTATTATTTGGGAACGAACCAAAAAATTGATTAGTACCAAATTAACTATTTTTTATAATACTTCTACTCTTGAGTAAAGTACCTTTCGGGCAGTTAAATGGAGTTTTGGAGACTTTTTCTTTAGCATTCTCGCGCCCTTGTTGCTATAAGAATTTGTGGATGTATTCGATTCATTTGATGTTTTGTTGCGTTTTCCAAATTTCAAATTCCGATGTTTCAGTTGAGGGGTTTGGCTTGATATCTTAATATATGTGCACTTGTATTCTGTTCTGATATATGTTTTTGGGTTCAGTTATTAGCCTTCAGTTTGTATCGTCCATTGCCTGTATGCATATGATAAAACAATTTTGGATAAGAAAAATGTATTGTTTTGTAATCGCGTATGTTTAATGTCTTTTGCTTCAAGTTATATGTGAAGAGGAGAAAAGTCGCATCTCCGTTATTAAGTTATTGGAAAAAATTATAAAACATTATATCCCAAGCTGTCACGAGCTCTGTTGTTCTGATATGAATTTCTTTTGTAGCTGATTGCCCTCTTATATGGAGTCCACCGTTGGTTGAACTCTGTTATGGAAAGATTCTGGTGTTCTGTTGATAAATGTGGTTGACTCTTCAAATGACATGGAATTTTCTTTCCTTTGTTTGTCACTTTAAGATTCTTATAATCGGAGCTTTCTTTGATTAGACACGGTGTATTGCAATTCTTGGCAATTTTACTCAATGCTGTTAGTTCTTTCAAATAAATTTACCCGTTTAGTTTTATCTGCATTTGGTCGTAAATAATCTATGTGTTAGTATCCTTGGTTTTCTGTTCATCTGGGTTCTGTGAACCAAGTATAATTTATGATGATTTGCAGATATTGGCTTCCCAAATACTCGTTATCCTGGTTCGTTAATCCTATTTTCTTAATTCATTTGTCAATGGCGGATTTGGAAAATGCTCTTCCACTTAATAAGAAGCGAGCTGCTGGGAGGGAACTCTCTCGGGATAACCCAGGCCTTGATGACGAGGACGATGCTTCTGAACCAGAGGCAGGAACTTTCAAGAGGGCCAGTGAGGAGGTGCTGGCAACCAGAAGAATTGTTAAGGTTCGTCGCCAGCAGACTACATCTGCCCCCACTGCTAATACTTCCAATCCTTTTGCTGGCATACGCTTGGTTCCTCCAACAGAAGAAAGTCCAGCCCCTGCTGAAGCTGCAGCTAGCTCACCACCTGCCTGTGAGACACGAGTTTCAGATGAGGATAATAAGCAGCCAGAAAGCAAGGTTGAACAGGCTGATCAAGTTGGGGATGACTCTGCAGCAGATAAGGAGAACGTTGTGAAGGAGAACAATGAAATTTCCAGTGAGGCAACGGAACCTGAACCAGATGTGGGTGAAAATAAGACAAATGGGGGTGAGACGGTAAATGAGGAAGAGGAAAAGGCTGAAATTAAAGATAAGAAAGATAATGAAGATAACAAGGATAACAAAAGCGAAAATGTAGATCCAAGTCCGGAAGGTAACTCGTTGAGCTCATTCCAACAGCTTTCGAGTAGCCAAAATGCCTTCACAAATATCTCTGGAACCGGGTTCTCCACATCTAGTTTTTCATTTGGGCTTATTTCAAAGGATGGGTCCACATTGGGTACTGGCTCTGGTTCACTTTTTGGATCAAATATTGATAAGCCTTCTGGTTTTGGTCTCTCGAGTAATGGAAGTTCTTCACTCTTTGGCACATCAGGCCCCTCAATTGTACCTAAGAGTGATGGTGCTGCCTTCCCGCAAATGCAAGAGGTTGCAGTTGAGACTGGGGAAGAAAATGAGAAAGTGGTTTTCACTGCTGATGCTGCGTTGTTTGAGTTTATTGATGGAGGCTGGAAGGAACGTGGAAAGGGAGATCTGAAAGTTAATGTATCTGAATCTGAGAAAGCCAGACTTGTTATGAGACTGAAGGGAATTAGAAAGGTAATTCTGAATGCAAGCCTTTACCCAGACATGAAGCTCGCGAACATGGAGAAGAAAGGTGTTACATTTGCCTGCATGAACAGCATCGATGAAAAGAAGGATGGGCTTTCCACCTTTGCTTTGAAGTTCAAGGATGGTTCCGTAGTCGAGGAATTTCGTGCTGCTGTTACAGCACATAAAGATAAAGGAAAGGCACCTACAGCTATGAAGACTCCAGAAAATTCTCCCAAGGCATCAGATGATTGAAAAGGTAGCTTATGTCAATGCTTGCTGAGTTTCATTTCCTATAGCGACTTTGCCCTGTTGTTGTCCTTGCCCCATTTTGGGAAGAAAGCGAAGTTGTTTTAGAGTCCGGCAGTTCCGAAGCCCTTTTGTAGCAGAGTTATAGAGTCCTGCCCATTTTGCTGTAGTTTTAATTTCAGTCTAGTATTCGGAAGACCCGTATTAACACATTCTGGATAAACTTAAAGTCAGACTGTGTTAAGCTCTTTGGGACGTTGAATGCTCGACAGAGTTTCATAGTTGGTTGGTCCCTTCATATGTAATGTGTTAAAACTGCCGTCTGTGAGATACCCTTACCGTTTTACCTTGTGCTCTTGGAGATCTATGATCACTCCTACCACCCTCCTTTCTCTTGACCCACCCTTTCATTTTCCTTTCTAGCGCTTCCCTTTTTTTTTTATAATTAGAGTCTTGTTCGTTTGGTCACCTCTTGGCCAAGGAACACATGATCGTTCATTATTAAATTTGATCTAACAATAAAGAATAAAATGTATATGCTTTATTTTAGTCTCAACACTAGATATCTAATTCAAAGGTAGATTGCCATAAATCCTTAATAGTTAGGTGACTAAGAGAACGTGACTCTAGTTTGTAACTAAAAGATGCTAGGTGCTAGTTGGACGGCGGGCTGGGGCCTAGCATCTAGGCGGTTAGACGGGGCTTAGGCGGACTAGACGGAGTTAAGTAAATTTATTATATTTCGTGTAATAAAGTGTCTACTTATACTTAAAATATATATATAATTTCATCATAAACTGCAAAAGATAATGATATATATATATTAAAGTATTGGAACATAATGAAAATATAATGTGTTTATTTAAGTATGCAACAAATCTCTTACAATTTTATTGAAAAAATAAAATGCAAAAAGAAAGTGATATATTTTTTGTCTAAATAAGTTGTGACCTAGGTGGGTGCCTTAACAGGTCTAAACGTCATTTCTTAATTTTTAAACGCCTTAGGCATTAATTGGGACAGTGACCAGCCATCTAGCGTCTAGATAGAACCTAGGCGGCGCTAGCGAAAACTTTTAGAACAGTAGTCATGGAAGACCAACATTCAAATAAATCTTACAAATGGTAGATTCGTTGTAAAGGCATCACAAGCAAAAGACCACACTACCTTATGATTGTCTTGCAGTCGCCGATAGTTATCTCCAATAAAGATCAAGCTTCTTTCTTATTGTTCCCTTTGTCATGTGCACAAACTTCAAGAAACATAAAAACCATCACCTAAGCTCTGAACAACTGCCACTCAAAAACGAAAGTTGGAAAGATTCACTGCTCTTAAATATAAGAGATAAATAGGCTTAAAGCACAATCCAGTGCATCGAGATGGTGCTGGAGAAGCTTAAGCTTGGTTGGAGAATAGCAGATGTGATTACTAATGAATCTGCTAGTCGTACCCAGTGCACAAGGCTCCCGCTTTACGCAGGGTCTGAGAGAGGTGAATGTCGGCTAGCCTTACCCCCATTTATGGAGAGGCTGCTCCCAAGTCTCGAACCCGAGACCTACCGCTCATAGGCGAAGACACTTGCCATCACTAATGAATCTGCTAGTAACAGTTAAAATTAAAAATCATAATTCTGTTAGTAAATAGTTTCTCTGATCAAGGGTTGTTGATGAAGGCATGGTCAAATCTGAAAAGTTAAACCTTTTTAATTAGTGCATTAAAAATATTTTTTAACATGTAAGAGGCGAAACATGTGATACAATGATATAAGAAACAAAGTAGCGCATTATCTATATGTCGCTTTGTTGTATTTTAAGATGTTCTCACTTGATTCGAAGAGTCTCCTGATTTCATTTGTGTTATGTGTCGGGAGAGGTAGGAGGATGCTTTATCGAGAGGTTAATTGGTTCTTTTTAATCGCCCTGAGTGGGAAGAATATAAGCTACTTTAGCAAGGTTGTCTTTTATCTTTTGATTTGTTTGATTTCAATCTTCCGATGCTTTGTTGATGTAAGAAAGCGCAATATGCTTGATGTTGACTTTTTTGATGCATCATGTCTTGCTTTGGTCGATAAAATGTAGCATTGTCTTTATAGATTGTTATTGGAACTCAATGATGGATAAAAAATCGTAGGTACTTCGATTTTGCTCAACAAGAGCTCTCAACCATACCTCTCATGCGTGGCGTAGTAAGGTCCAGTGAGCTTGAAATGATTCGAAGATTTCGCAACTAAGGCCTATATTGTGGACATCCAAGATATTGCAGTATCCCTAACAGTAAAAACATAGCCATTTGGGAACGTGCCTTGTGCATGTTTGATAAGTAATCATCATCAGCAAAACAAGCAAGGCAAGCATCGTTCTGAAGATCATGAGGGTTGGATCCTCTCAGGATGTGTATGGATAAGCCTAAATCTGTAGTACCTAAATCTGTAGTACCTTCAGGGTAGCAGAAAAATGTCTTTAATGGCAATTCAATGGTTCGTTTTGGTGCATTGATGTATCTTGTAAATAGATCAACAACAAAGGAGATGTCTTGTTGATGCAATGAGCTAAGTTCAACAAAGCGCAATGTTGAACTTAGATACAAAACTTCGGGTTCCACAACTTTTTCAAAGGTCTCCTTTGTATCTAGCGTGGATGATCATGGGTATATTAAGAATGTAACACCTTTGGGGTGTAGTTCGATTGATGAACCAGAATAACGTTAGAACAATGAACTTCAGGTCAAGGCATAAATGAGTTTTCTTAAGAACCTTTATCTCAAATTTCGTCTTTAGGTGCAAGGCAGATTGATCACGCTCTTCCAAAATCTTAGTGAAATTTATGTTATCTACGTAGACGAAAAATCTAGCAATTTAGAATACTTCTTAATTTACACGCAAGGGCATAGTTTATTATTATATCCCTGACTAATCAAATAATCAATTAGATGGGGCATACCACATGTGCCAACTCAGTAAAGATCCCTCAGGCCACTAGTGTTTTAGCCAACGAAAGAGTTGATTTGATCGAGTCCTTATGAGAATAGGACTGTGTGAGGATTAATATCAGATATGGACAAGTTTCTAAAAGATGCTAGCCACTAGCCGGGTGGCAAGCTGGGGCCTGACACCTAGGTGGTTAGGTGGGGACCTAGACAGATTTAGTTAAATTTATTATATAACATATAAATAGGTGCCTACTTACACTCTAAAAAAATATACTTGTATTGAGAATTTAGAAAAGTTAAAACTTAAGCCATTATGTTATTGGCATTATCACATACTAATGCAACACAAATAAGAAAAATCCAAAACCAAATTCTAAAATTCAATACTTCGTAATCTAAAATTGACAACATCTTTCATCATAGATTAATCAATGATTCAATGAATCAATATATGTAAATAGGATCGTGTAGAAAGACATGGAGAAGAGAAACACAAAAAGGCAAGAGAAATAATATGGGTTCTTTTTGGGTTGGCTACCCAAAAAAACCCTTTAACTTAATTTAAAAACAAAAAAATGGAACCCTAGATCTGAACCACCTAGCCACACCTAAGTCGCCTAGACCACCTACCCCCTAACCCATTGTTCTTCATGTTTTGGCTTAAATCGACTCGGTCCTCCACCGTCCAACGCCTAGATGGCCGTCTAGGTCGATTTTAGAATAGTGGATATAGACCGGATGAGTCCTAGGCAAATGGAAATTGCCAAGGACCATAATAAAGCTTGATTAAATGCTAATTGTCCCAATGATCAGAATTCTTTCTTGATCAGATAAGAAGGAATTAATCATATAATGTGTCAAGTTCAGAATCCTAGTTGGAATCAAAGAAGCCGAAACTGGATGAAGATGAGTTTAGGCTATTCAAGGAATTAAATGGGATAAAGAAAGAATATTCAGGAAAATGACGAGTGACATGGTCCCATTAGGACTCTACCTAGGCATACTTGTTTATCACGAAGGTATCCTATATATAGAAGAGGTTCTGCAACTTGAAAATCCCCTTTAACTCAACAAGCAACTTAAACACCCTCACTCTATATTGAACATTCTCACAACCTAACCCCTCCATCGGCACATATTCAATTTGTTAGAACATCATTGGAGCCATAGAACTAATCGCTCTGGAAGTACCTTCAGTTCGGTGGAACATCACTTCTAGTCCAGTCGATTATCTATCCAAGTTTTAGTTCAGAGGAGAATCTTCGAATCCTTTGCTGCAAAAGGTCACTTCATTAGCTTCCCATTGGAGTGAAGTTTTCTATGATTGATTACTCTCAGGTGCGTTTTGTAGTTCGACATTTAGACGGTCGAACCATGTTCACCATAAAAACGATCATCTCTTTTGATTATCTGTGCCCCTATAGCTTGATACCAATTCAACGCACTTCTATTCTCATGAATATAGTTGAGGCAGCCGAACCTGGTACAGGTGATCCTGAACTTCGCAGTGAACTAGGCAACCTTGTCTTCAAGTTCTAAAACCCTAGGGCGAGAGATGTTCCTTCATCGGCTGTAGTCATTCAAGTGCAGAAGTCAGCACCGCATTCGACACTACCACCACATTTATTCTACTCACTAGACCAAATTCGGTTGTGAATTGGCATGCCCTCATTGATAAGAATGACGTAGGTTTTATAATTTTTATGATCAACAAACTTATACCAATGATTTAATTAACAAACATAAATAGAAATTGGCTTTTTGGGGTTATAGAGGGATGGAAGATTGGAGGGTAATTGAAGAAGGCTGGGATCCGTTGTGCTTTTGTTAGATTATTTTGACTTTTGCCCAACCCAATGATATAATAACCTAGTAAAACACTATCATCTATATATAATCACTACAGATTCCGGAAGGATCTGCATCCTCACATGCTATCATCTTGTCTCGACCTTAAAACGAGCTCACGGGCTATACTATTGTGGTACCACTTGTCCCCACTTTGGGTGTGTATTTTCAGAATATCGGTGAATTTAGTTTGTTTCGGAAGAAAAAAAATTAATAATAAATCAAGGTATCACTCTTACGTTGGTTAATTCAGTTGATCAATAGTATATTCACTCTCCTTATGTATGACTTTGAAACTCATCTCTCGAGTTAAAGTAATTTAAAATATCATATGATATAAAACATAAAAATAAAACAACTTCAACTAAATATAATGATCCGTTTGGCCATGCCATGAATTTGAGGAAAATATATTTTAAAAGAAGTGGTTGATCATTACAAATAATAAACCCACATGGGTATTAGTAGTAGGTAAACCCGTGAACTTATAGATAACACTTTTCAAATAAACAAGTCGGATCAAGACAAATTATACAAATTGCAGGTAATGTATGGTTTTTAATTTCAATTTAGCTTCACATAATATTTTATCAATTTATGACCCATATGCAAAAATAATACC